TAACAAACAATATTTTGGAATAGGATAGAGAAAGGGCTTGAAATAATAAAAAAACAAGCCCTTAATTATTATATCTAGAATCATCTAAAGGGCATTCTAGTAAAAGAGTATTTCAGGATATCTGTTATTACTATTAACCAAACATATTAATTATAATACATCCCATTGAACCAAGTACAATAAATTTAAATCTGTAATCTATACTAATCTTTCTTTCCAATAATCTATTACTAAGATAAAAAAATTATATAATCAAACACCCTTAATAGTAAATACTATATAATAAAGATTATGTAACGAGGAATCTTAACAAATAAACCAAACGCTACCTTAAATTGTTTTTAAATATTAAAACATTGACTTTCCCAAAGGGTTTGGCTTCAGTAGTAGACACTAGACAGTGATCACTGATCAGTGTCTCTGGTCACACTTTCTTCTCGAGAAGGAAATGGGGATTCTGGATTACATATCTTCGACATGTGATTCAATAAAAAGAACGCACCAAATCCAAGCTCAGTGAAGCACTTATTGGAGCTCTTACGATTACAGCCGTGCCGCCGTTACAAAGATCCATAATGTTTTCCCCAGCAAAGCTGTAATCGAAAAGCTCACCAGCACTGCCAGATGAAGATACCAGGTACAAGATCGCCGAAAATTTGGCCAAAAACTCCGCCGCCGCCGCTGTTCAAGGGGCCTTAAATCGTCCCTGGTATGGTGTACTTTTCGTATTACTACTTTATTTGTTATTTGTTTATTATCTTTTGTTTTAATAAAAATTCAGTTTATGTGAAGAAGAATAAGAAATCACTTGATGTTGAAGAAGAGCTTTTATGGAATATGGGTACTGTTTTTATAGTAAGGATTTTTTTCACGAAGTTCTAGTGTCTTTTGGCTGTTACGAAGTTCTGTTGGTGCTTGATTATTAATAGATTATCGGTGGTATGATTCTTCAAGGAAGATTTATGAAATTTATAAGATATCATAAGAAAACTTGTACGCGATGAGGGCTCAAGGCAATTTTGTTAGGTGAATGCCATAATGTCATAATGATAAGTGCAAATGCCATAATGTCAAAAGTTATCTGTGGGAAGTTTCAAACAAGGATAAGTGTTACTTATCATTTAATTTATATTCTAAATTGGATTCTACTGCATTTCAGGTGGACCAATATTATATGACATTGTCAATCGATCACTTAGGTATGACAAGAAGTCCAACGCGATACAAAATTCTGCAGGAACTGGAAGATAAGCAGGCAGAATGGACAAGAACTCAGTGATTATCGAAAATTACTTGAGCAAACCGAGATACGTAAGCCAATCAGGAACTGGATTGTAGGAACACCACCCTTGTTGAATCAAAAACCAGAAGACGTGATCAGAATTTTCATGATGACAGAATTTGTGGTGACATTTGTTGGATAATCTAATAGTTCCTGGGGTTAGATCTAGGAAGCCAAATATGAAACGACCAATGAAATGGTCTCTAAGCAAGTGTTTGGATGCCATGCTTATGTAATTAAGTTTTCTGTGCTTCAGATGCTATATGCTAATAATTTGTAATCTCCCGTGTTCATGGCTTTTAACTCAGCTGAACTGAGGATGGTATGTATTTTGTTGAGAAAAGACATAGTAATACCATACCTTGTGTGTTGTAAATGATCATATCATGTTCTATGTTATATTCAACAACATATTCTATGTTTGGTCAAGCACAATTTTCTGAACTTGGGACAGTCCTGGAAGTTCAAGAATGGTTTCTGTTATCATTCTGATCGGGGCAGAAGAATGAGCTCAACAGAGCCGCGGCAAATATAGAAGAAGATATGGTTCATCTTTGTTGCTTGTTCCCAGTTTCTATTGAGTTTAACTCCATTCAAGTTTTCACCACGATTGGATGCATGAGGATTTGGATGCTTATAAACTAACCAATTTGACATGGTTTTAAGAGAAGCATAGGTTTGCTTTGGCCAAACATTCATCCCTTGTATTATTTACAGTAACGTAGGTTTGCAATTCAATCTCACAATCTTCTTTCACAACTGTTGATACAGTTTGAAGTATTTGCAAATTAATTGTGTATTCAGATAGTCAATCCTGGAGTCTAACATCGGTTCTACAAATTTCCATATTTTTCATGTTTTTATTCTTCTCTTGTTTCTGGTCCTTTTGGTACGGTTCCCATTGTCTTATTTTTCATGTTTTTATTCTTCTCTTGTTTCTGGTCCTTTTGGTACGGTTCCCATTGTCTTACTTTGTAAATACAACTATGAGACATTCTGTACGATCTAATGATCTATTAAAATAATGGTAAGCAATTGTACAGTACAGACTGTACATTTGATGATCATAAAACTGTGAGCATCTTAAGTACTTCGGATCATACACAATATTCAATATTTAAGCTTAGATGAATAACGAAGAGTTCAGGATAGTCTTAAGACCATTTTCATACTCAAGAAAGAAGGCAGAAAGGAAATGACAACAGAATCAAAGATTAAAAGTATAATTTGCATATATTATATTGTTGCCACAAGATTATATTACAACCACCAGAAGACAGTCACTTAAACAAACCTGGACACAAGAGCCCCTCAGAAACCAAACATAAAGAGCAGACAAAAGCTAAGCAGCAAAAAGATATTCATAGGGCATTATGTTCCATCATGCTAGAGATGTAGTTCACATTGTGTACAAGGTTTGAGGTCACTTTGGATCATCTTTTTCCAGTGAAGCACAAGTTCACAATTTGACATTCTCCATTGACGTTAGTAGACTTGCAAGTACAATGGTTCACAATTTTTTTTTTTTTTTTTTTTAGAGAAATCAACAAGTACTTTCACCAGACTTGAGATCAAGTCGTGTTTCTATTGCAGGGGTGCGATTGTCAGATTTCAAACTTGAGATGTGGATTGTGGAGAGTGCTTGTGAGAGAAATTTGAGATGTGGAGGGTTATTTTCAAATTTTTATTTCAACTTTAATGTAGTGTAAATGACCAAGGGTGGGAATCTAGAAATTATGAAACTAGGGGTGGGAACTGCAAATTCGCCAAACCTTGGGTGATAACATGTTTACTCTTGTAAATGGTTTTTAAATATTGAAACATTGACTTTCCCAAAAGATATGACGACTTTCTCCGACGGCCAGCGGTGGTGGCTATTCGCCGGTGATGATCTTGGGTAGTTAAAGGTATTTTGTTAACTTTTAAACTTTTTTGTGACAGGGTGTTTTAGTTAAATTCTCAAATATAAGGGGTCTGAATAATTGTTATTTGATAGATATATGAGGGCAAATGTGTCCAAAACGAAAAAAGATTAAGGGCAAAATATGGACAAAATTAAGATTATCTCGGTAGTCTTATATTAACATCCATTGAAAAGGTAATTTAATTATCCCTAATATTACTAACAATAAACATTATTTACAATAAAAGATTATGTAATGTTTTATTATTGACAAGCAAAAGAATCTTAAAAATTAAAACCAAACGCTACCTTAAATTGTTTTTAAATATTAAAACATTGGCTTTCCCAAAAGGTTTGGCTTCAGTAGTAGACACTGTCTACTACTAGACAGTGATCAGTGCTCTGGTCATACTTTCCTTCCGCCTGCATGATCCAAATGAGAAATATGTTAAACACATTCAGACAGCGCTGTATCTATGAGTGCATATGTATACCTCAAAAAATAAAAAGTCCATTACAGAGATGATGTGAACAAAGAGGATACCAAAGAGATCTTTCTACAAAAGAAAGGAATCAGGGTAAGTAGTGCAACAAACAAAAAACTTTCAAGAGACTAAACACAAGACCACAGTTATTTAAATTCATAATTGTGCTGTAGAATGACACAAAATCCAAAAGATTATCCGGACTCAAGTTTGAGCTACTACAGATTATGGTATATCTAAGTTGACCAAGCCTAGTCTCTGACTCGCCCATCTAAATTCTGTAAGAGTTAAGCCTAGTCTTTAATTCACAAATGTAAACTTTGTAACAATTAAATATGATAACACAAGAGGGGGGGAAAATATAAATTTCTAGGTTAATGAAAGTGGTGTTATTCTTCATCTCTCTAGCACATCAAAAAAAAATAGCTCTGCTTAAGTTAGATGCAGCTTCTTGTATTAAGAAGTGGTCGCACTCTCACATATGCAATTTACATAACATTTCACAAACAACCTCAGATGTTAAAAATAAACCAACAGGAACAAAAATTATGTTTATGCTATAATTCTAGAGACAAAAAAGACTACAAGGTGTCAAGTATGACAACTCTAAGAATTGGTTATACACGTGACATATATTTTGCTCATTTACAGCATTAAACACACATATATATATAACCAGTAATCATTTTTATTTAATTGCTTTAAAACAACAACGATACAAATATTGGCTTCATTAGCATGTGAAAGTTTCAACACAAAATTTGTATCATCCGAAAATGTTAAACATATTTTTGAATAACAAGACATTGTTTTATAAAGTTTTCCGTCCGTTTGTTCAGTAAAGGTCTATCCTAATAACTTCCCCTATGAATACAGAAACAAATATAACAGAGCATCATATCCTCGGGTGTTTGAAACATGAAAATTATCATTACGAGAACCATCAGACAAGTCGTTGTAGTTCTATGTAACCTATAAATTTTAAAAACATAATTGATTTCTTTCATTCAGTGTTAAAATGAACTTCCCCGGCTCACTTACAAAGCAAAGATCCTTTTTATACACAGTACACTTACAAAAGCTCAACTTGTTACAAAAAGTTAAAAGCTTTACTGATTCAATGTCAAAGAAAGAAACCCATTTCAATCACAATCATACCCATACAATCATTAATAGAATTGCAACAGAATCAGAGCTATACATCACAAAAATCCATATCAAATTATAAATTAAACGTCTGCTGCGTCCTACTCCACCATTAATTCAAGGTAATTTTTTCCGGTATATAAGTAAAAAATAGATAACTATAAAAGAACTTAAGTTCTATTACCAACGACGCCTTTGAAAGAGACGTTGACGGCGGAATCGACGGTAAACTTGGTGAAATTCGTGAGGAACCATCCGATCTTCCCGCGGCGGTATGGGTCGGGGACGTGATAATCTCTGTCAAATTTAACAACGTTCGCCATCCCGGAAACGGAGAAGAAACGGGAATTGTAACGGCTGCAGCTCGTGCTTTGTAATTTAGCGGCAGATTTAGCTACCAACCAAAACGAAACTTCAAACCGGAGACTACTAACATAGATATTTTTTTGAGGTTTTAATCTTAAAATTCTCGATGGTAAATATCATTTAGGTCCAATAAGAAACCTAAAATTACTTTATAGATATTTAGTGAAAGATTACAATAATACCATGCATACTAACGAATTTTACTAACCAGCGTACTAACCTAAAGCATAGTACGGGTACCATATTTAATTTTAACAAAGGTTAGTATGCTAATTAGTAAAATTCGTTAGTACGCATAACATTACCCAAAAGATTAAGGGGTTAAAAATATTCCAGAAGACGTCGTTCCGTATAAATACGACATGTTATTCCTAATATGAACAACAAGCCATCCAATTATCAAACAACATCGTGTCATACTAGGAAATCGACACGTCTTTTGAATTAAATTAGAATAAAGATACGCTAACAAATACTTCTCATAAACTTCTTTCACTAATGCTGACGTGATAGCTCGCATTTGGTCAGACAGAACCCATTGTTAGGCAAGCAGGATCTATTGCAAGCTGACCGATTATGAGCTGACACGTCGCGTTTATGAGAGAAAGTTAGTGAAAATGGTTTGTGAATATAGTATTACTGATTAAATTATGTCGTTTCAAGATGGATGACAAGTCGTACTCATATCCGAAACGATGTTGTGTTCCTTCTCAATGACATGTCATTCGATTGTAAAACCGACATCGTATTTTTTGTCGTCAAACAACACGTTGTATTCATAAATATTTGTCATCCACCAGTTTTTCTTAAATATTAGTGAAAACCCTAGTTTTAGGATTCCTTTTCGGCCTAAATGAAATTTACCATATATCCTTCGCCTATTAGTGACGCATTCTCATATTGAAATAGATAAAAGTGTCCGAATTCCCGTGACCCAAACCCAAGGGAATAATACAATTAGCTCTCCATATTTGTATTTTTCAAGTTCAACATTAAATTGTTGGGTAAACGACATTTTCCCACCCAATGTTTGGCGAATCTACAAGTTTCTACCTATGGTTTCATAAATTCTAGATTCACACTCTTAAATTAACACCATTAGTGATTTGTAGGTTTTGATATAATATAGAATGTATTATTACCAAACTACCCTTTAACTTTTACTTTTAATTATGGCAACTAAATATCAAAAACCTCCCTGAAAGATGGAAGCTTGTCCATCGCACCCCTACGAGCTGGGCAAACCCCAGCCACCACAATCGGCACCATAAAGCCAATGGCAGCAACGATGCGAAGGAGACTGGGATCGACACCCTCCATCCTTGCCTAACTGCCGCCCACCAGGATGGTTGGATTGCACCAGTTCCGCGACTTTTCCTCTTAACCACTACCACTCCTAGGTCGTTTCCAGCCGATTCCGACATCACCAAGCTCCCCTGTCACCACCATCAGAACCCCCACGCCACAATCACCAAAACACCTCACACTCCCACCCCAATGCATCCACAAATCGCTGATCGAGAGCCCCTACAATCTCGCGTGATTCTCCAAGTTTACGATCAAATTCCAATTGATTTTGACATCGAAAATACCTCTTTCACAACCATTCGAATCCTCATCCTCTACTCAACAAAACCCACACCTCCACCACCCTCCCCCACTTGTCGTTTGCCGTCCACGAGCTGCCAAGTCGCGTTTCTGTTGTAGGGGTACGATCGTCTGATTTCAAACTTGAGATGCAGACAGTGCTTGTGAGAGAAATTTGAGATGTGAAGGGTTATTTTAAAATTTTTATTTTTATTTCAACTTTAATGCCGTATAAATGATGCCTTTACCTTTAACCATTCCATTAAACCATTTTGTTAATTTAAGGGCAAGCATTTAGAATGTATGAAACCAGGGTGGGAACTGTAGATTCACCAAACCTTGGGTGGGAATATATCTTTACTCTTAGGGTGCGTTTGGTTCAAGGAATGTTACATTATTGAGGAATGTTATATTACTGGAAAGATAGATTACTAGGGAATCTTTAGAGAAATATGTTTGGTTGGTTGAAATAAATTGGTGGGTATATTATAATAATATGTTTGGTTGATAGGATAAATGAGTGAGTATGTTATGTAGATTACTAAATTGTCCTTCTTTGTAAATTATAATATAATATTATTTTTATTATTATTTTATTCTATTATTTTTTATATTATATTTGTTAACCCTCTATATTTGAAATTTTGCTAAAACACCCCAACTATATAAAACTTTAATTTGTAGCAAAATCACCCCTACCCACCCCAAGCCACCGCCGACAGTCAACCATCACCATCGGCAGCCGCCGTAATGGAGCATGACCGAGCGGATCTGGTTGATCGTGCTCTGGTAAGGCCTAATTCGGCCAGATCTGGTCGGCAGCCATTTCACAGCCAAAATCTGTGGCATTTCACGGCCACATCTTTGGTCGTGAAACGGCTAGACACGTCCTTACCAGCACATGACCGGCAAGATCCTACCGGTCTTGTGCCGATATGATGACTTTCTCTGGCGGCCAACAGTGGTGGCTAGCGACCAGTGATAGTCTTGGGTAGTTGAGGGTATTTTGTTAACTTTTAAACTTTTTTTTGACGAGGGTGTTTTAGCTAAATTCTCAAATATAGGGGGTCCGGGAATTGTTATTTGGTAGACATATAAGGGAAAATGTGTTCGAAATGATAAAAAATTAAGGGCAAAATAGAGACAAAATTAAGATTACCCTGATAATCTTATATTAACATCCCTTGGGAAGGTAATCTAATTACCTCTAATATTACTGAGGGCCCGTTTGGATTGGGTTGAAATTTATTAACAAGGTAATATTTGTTTAAGTGAGCAGATTATCGTGTTTGAGATTTTTGTACAAAAATATTACAGGAAAATAAGATGACAAACAGTGCCAAAAAGGGGATAAATCACCGAGAATAATATTACCTGGGGGGAGGGTGGCATTAAAATATTACTTCGGTAATCCAAATTTCGGTCCAATTTTGCCCCAAAACAGTGGACAATGTGGACCAAAATATCCTTGGCTTTGTTAATAATTACAAAACACCCAATTTGTAAAATGACAAAAACACCCCCATCACCACAATGCCAGATTCCGACCACCACCACTGGAATCTGGTCGGAATCTGCCGTTACGACTAAGACTGGTTGAATCTGGCCGATGGTATGTCGATCTGGCCTTTTCCGATCTACAGCCAGATTTGGCCATCAACGGCTGCAAAAGGCCAGATCGGTGAATAAATGGCCATTTCCTATCGTTTTTAGGCTGTTGTGACAGATTCCGGGCACCACAGATGGTGGTTGCCGGAATCTGGCAACTATAGGTGGGTGGGGTTGTTTTTGTTTAATTTTAAACTTTTTTGGGGGTGTTTTTTAAGTTAATAAACTTAAGGGGTCTAAAGTAATTAAAAAAATAGAATAGTATTTCCCAAATAATTAAACAAACAAGTATTTTGGGAATAGGATAAAGAATAGGGCTTGAAATAATAAAACAAACAAGCCCTTAATTATTTATATCTAGTAATCATCTAAAGGGCATTATAGTAAAAGAGTATTTCAGGACATTTATTATTACTATTAACCAAACATATTAATTATTAATACATCCCAATTGAACCAAGTACAATAATAATTTAAATCCGATAATCTACAATATAATCTTTCTTTCCAATAACTTTATTATTAAGATAAAAAAATATTATATAATCCAATCACACTTTAATAGTAAATACTATTATAATAAAAGATTATGTAACGAGGAATCTTAACAAATTAAACCAAACGCTACCTTAAATTGTTTTTAAATATTAAAACATTGACTTTCCCAAAGGGTTTGGCTTCAGTAGTAGACACTAGACAGTGATCACTGATCAGTGCTCTGGTCATACTTTCTTCTCGAGAAGGAAATGGGGATTCTGGATTACATATCTTCGACATGTGATTCAATAAAAAGGAACGCACCAAATCCAAGCTCAGTGAAGCACTTGTATTGGAGCTCTTACGATTACAGCCGTGCCGCCGTTACAAAGATCCATAATGTTTTCCCCAGCAAAGCTGTAATCGAAAAGCTCAACCAGCACTTGCCAGATGAAGATACCAGGTACAAGATCGCCGAAAATTTGGCCAAAAACTCCGCCGCCGCCGCTGTTCTAGGGGGCCTTAAATTCGTCCCTGGTATGGTGTACTTTTCGTATTACTACTTTATTTGTTATTTGTTTTATTATCTTTTTGTTTTAATAAAAATTCAGTTTATGTTGAAGAAGAATAAGAAATCACTTGATGTTGAAGAAGAGCTTTTATGGAATATGGGTACTGTTTTTATAAGTAAGGATTTTTTTCACGAAGTTCTAGTGTCTTTTGGCTGTTACGAAGTTCTAGTGTCTTTTGGCTGTTACGAAGTTCTGTTGGTGCTTGATTATTAATAGATATATCGGTGGTATGATTCTTCAAGGAAGGATATTATGAAATTTATAAGATATCATAAGAAAACTTGTACGCGATGAGGGCTCAAGGCAATTTTGTTAGGTGAATGCCATAATGTCATAATGATAAGTGCAAAATGCCATAATGTCAAAAGTTATCTGTGGGAAGTTTCAAACAAGGATAAGTGTTACTTATCATTTAATTTATATTCTAAATTGGATTTCTACTGCATTTCAGGTGGACCAATATTATATGACATTGTCAATCGATCACTTAGGTATGACAAGAAGTCCAACGACGATACAAAAATTCTGCAGGAACTGGAAGATAAGCTAGGCAGAATGGACAAAGAACTCAGTGATTATCGAAAATTACTTGAGCAAACCGAGATACGTAAGCCAATCAGGGAACTGGATTGTAGGAACACCACCCTTGGTTTGAATCAAAAACCAGAAGACGTGATCAGAATTTTCATGATGACAGAATTTGTGGGTAAGCATTTGTTGGATAATCTAATAGTTCCTGGGGTTAAATCTTGGAAGCCAAATATGAAATACGACCAATGAAATGGTCTCTAAGCAAGTGTTTGGATGCCATGCTTATGTAATTAAGTTTTCTTGTGCTTCAGATGCTATATGCTAATAATTTGTAATCTCCCGTGTTCATGCTTTAACTCAGCTGAACTAAGGATGGTATGTATTTTGTTGAGAAAAGACATAGTAATACCCTACCTTGTGTGTTGTAAATGATCATATCATGTTCTATGTTATATTCAAGTCAACAACATATTCTATGTTTGGTCAAGCACAATTTTCTGAACTTAGGAGAGTCCTGGAAGTTCAAGAATGGTTTCTGTTATCATTCTGATCAGGGCAGAAGAATGAGCTCAACAGAGCCACAGCGAATATAGAAGAAGATATGGTTCATCTTTGTTGCTTGTTCCCAGTTTCTTTCGAGTTTAACTCCACTCAAGTTTTCACTACGATTTGATGCTTATAAACTAACCAATTTGACATGGTTTTAAGAGAAGCATAGGTTTTCTTTGGCCAAACATTTGTCCCTTGTATTATTTACAGTAATGTAGGTTTATAACTCAATTTCACGACATTCTCTCACAACTGTTGATACCACTTGAAGTATTTGCAAATTAATTGTGTATTCAGATAGTCAATCCTGGAATCTAACATCAGTTCTACAAATTTCCATATTTTTCATGTTTTTATTCTTCTCGTCCTTTTGGTACGGTTCCCATTGTCTTATTCTGTAAATACAACTATGAGACATTATGTATGATCTAATGATCTATTAAAATAATGGTAAGCAATTGTACAGTACAAACTGTACATTGGATGATCATAAAACTGTGAGCATCTAAAGTACTTCGGATAATACACAATATTCAATAGTTAAGCTTAGATGAATAACGAAGAGTTCAGGATAGTCTAAGGCCATTTTCATACTCAACAAAGAAGGCAGAAAGGAAATGACAACAGAATCAAAGATTAAAAGTATAATTTGCATATATTATATTGTTGCCACAAGATTATATTACAACCACCAGAAGACAGTCACTTAAACAAACCTGGACACAAGAGCCCCTCAGAAACCAAACATAAAGAGCAGACAAAAGCTAAGCAGCAAAAAGATATTCATAGGGCATTATGTTTCATCATGCTAGAGACGTAGTTCACATTGTGTACAAGGTTTGAGGTCACTTTGGATCATCTTTGTCCAGTGAAGCACAAGTTCACAATTTGACATTCTCCATTGATATTAGTAGACTTGCAAGTAAAATGGTTCACAATTTTTTTTTTTTTTTTTAGAGAAATCAACAAGTACTTTCACCAGACTTGAGATCAAGTAGTGTTTCTGTTGCAGGGGTGCGATCATCAGATTTCAAACTTGAGATGTGGATTGTGGAGGGTGCTTGTGAGAGAAATTTGAGATGTGGAGGGTTATTTAAATGTTTATTTTTATTTCAACTTTAATGTAGTGTAAATGACCAAGGGTGGGAATCTAGAATTTATTAAACTAGGGGAGGGAGCCGTAGATTCACCAAACCTTGGGTGGTAGTATGTTGTTTACTCTTGTAAATGGTTTTTAAATATTGAAACATTGACTTTCCCAAAAGATATGACTGACTTTCTCCGTTGGCCAGCGGTGTAGCTAGCGGCCGATGATGATCTTGGATAGTTAAAAGATATTTTATTAACTTTTAAACTTTTTTGTGACGACTGTTTTTGTTAAATTCTAAAATATAAGAGGTTTGAATAATTGTTATTTGATAGACATATGAAGATAAATGTATCCAAAATGATAAAAAATTATGGGTAAAATAAAGACAAAACTAAAATTATCTCAATAATATTATATTAACACCCATTTAAAAGATAATTTAGTTATCCTGATATTACTAACAATAAATATTATTTACGATAAAAGATTATGCATTATTTTATTCGAATCTTAAAAATTAAAACCAAACGCTACCTTAAATTGTTTTTAAATATTAAAACATTGACTATTTGACTTTTCCAAAAGGTTTGGCTTCAGTAGTGGAAACTAGACAGTGATCAGTGCTCTGGTCATACTTTCTTCTCGAGAAGGAAATGGGGATTCTGGATTGCATATCTTCAACATATGATTCAATAAAACGGAACGCACCAAATCAAAGCTCAGTGAAGCACTTGTATTGGAGCTCTTACGATTACTGCCGTGCCGCCGTTGCAAAGATCCATAATATTTTCACCGACAATGCTGCAATCGAAAAGCTCAATCAACACTTGCCAGATGAAGATACCAGGTCCAAGATTGCCGCCGCCGCTGTTCAAGAGGGCCTTAAATTCGTCCCTGGTGTGGTGTACTTTTCGTATTACTACTTTATTTGTTATTTGTTTTATCATCTTTTTGTTTTAATAAAAATTCACTTTATGTTGAAGAAGAATAAGAAATCCCTTAATGTTGAGGAAGAGCTTATATGGAATATGGGTACTGTTTGTATAAGTAGGATTTTTTTTGCGAAGTTCTAGTGTCTTTTGACTATTACGAAGTTTCAAACAATAAGGATAAGTGTTACTTATCATTTAATTTATTTTCTAAATTGGATTTCTACTGCATTTCAGGTGGACCGATAGTATATAAAATTGTCAATCGGTCACTCGGCGATGACAAGAAGTCCAAGGAACATAAAAAAGATGTGCAGGAACTTAAAAAAGATGTGCAGGAACTGAAAGATAAGGTAGGCAGAATGGAGAAAGAACTCAGTGATTGTCGGAAATCACTTGAGCAAACCAAGATACGTAAGTCAAAATTGTAAGAACACCATCCTTGGTTTGAATCAAAAACCAGAAGACGAGATCAGAATTTGAGTAAGCATTTGTTGGATAATCTAATAGTTCCTGGGGTTAGATCTAGGAAGCCAAATATGAAATATGACCATTGAAATGGTCTTTACGCAACTGCTTGTATGCCATGCTTATATAATTAAGTTTTCTTGTGCTTCAGATGCTATATGCTAATAACTATGTAATCTCCTGTTTTCATGCTTTAACTCAGCTGAACTGAGGATGGCATGTGTATTTTGCTGAGAAAAGACATAGCATTACCCTGCCTTGTGCGTGGTGAAAGATAATATCATGTTCTATGTTATATTCAAGTCGGCAACATACTCTGTCTTTGGTCAAGCACAATTTTCTGAACTTGGGACAGTCCTGGAAGTTCAAGAATGATTTCTGAGGAGAGCGATAAAGGCACAGAGGGGTCAAGATCTCTATAGACTTCCCAGGGAGGTGGAGCAGTGGTCTAGTGTTCCATCACTTGTCCCCCCTTGTATTCCTCTCTCGGGTGTTCGGTTCGGTTGCTTGTCTTTCTATCAATGCATCTACAGCCGTTTGGAGTAGAGGTTCACCCCCGCTTATTAGAGATGGTATCTATTATCTGCGATGAAAGGGTTGCCCAGGGAGGTCAAATCTGTAAGGCTATTACGTATTAACAACCCGGTCCTGACACCTGTCAAAGTCTACTAGGAATGTCGAAGTATATTATTTATGTATGCATTATCCCACAGGCTTGGTTGGCATCCTGCCTTGCCATCTCTCTTGGTCCTGCCGAGGGGAAGAGAAGAGATTGGGCGGTAGCAGGCAGGTCTGGGATGGGGACCGGAAATCGACCTGAAATGGGTGCAATGGGAAGCCAGAGAGCGTATATAGAAGAAGATATGCTTGTTTCCAGTTTCTTTTGAATTTAAACTCCACTCAAGTTTTCACTACGATTGGATGCTTGAGGATTTGGATGCTCATAAACTTGCCAATTTGACATGGTTTTAAGAGAAGCATAGATTCGCTTTGGTCAAACATTCGTCAATTATATTATTTATTATTATAATGTTATTGCATCCTCAAATTCCGCTTGGGGTATTTGCAAATTAATTGTGTATTCAGATAATCAATGCTGGAATCTAACATCAGTTCTACAAGTTCCCATATTTTTCATGTTTTTATTCTTCTGTTGTTTCTAGTCCTTTTGGTACGGTTCCCATTGTCTTGTTCTGTAGAGACAACTATGAGACATTCTGTACAATCTATCAAAATAATGGTAAGCAATTGTACAACACAGACTGTACATTGGATGATCATAAAATTGTGAACATCTAAAGTACTTCGGATCATACACAATATTTAAGCTTAGATGAATAACGAAGAGTTCAAGATAGTCTAGGCCATTTTCATACTCAACAAAGAAGGCAAAAAGGAAATGACAACAGAATCAAAGTTCAGGATCAAAGATCAAAAGTATAATTTGCTTATATTATATTGTTGCCGCAAGATTATATTACAGCTACCAGAAGATAGCCCCTCAGAAACCAAACATAAAGAGCAGACAAAAGCTAAGCAGCAAAAAGATATTCATACGGCATCATGTTTGATCATGCTAGAAACGTATTTCACATTGTGCACAAGGTTTGAAGTCACTTTTGATCATCTTTGTCCAGAGAAATCACAAGTTCACAATTTGACATTCTCCATTGATGTTAATAGACCTGCAAGCACAGTGGTTCACAATTTTCTTTAGAGAAATCAAGAAGTACTTTCACCAGACTTAAGATCAAGAAATTAACTAAAGACGCATATAGCAAGAGTTGGCATTAATACAAAAATTTGATGAGCTTAAATGCTTTATTAAGCATTTAAAGCCTTCTGAGAAAGCACTTTCATAGTTGCCTGTCTGTTGCAGCCCCATAAGTTTTCAGTCAGCATAAAACTTAACTCATTGCCGCTGGAACTTTTATTTTTATATATAGAATGAGCAGTCATCCAGGCGTAGAATGAACAAGCATTGCCTCTTAACTACATGAATGCTAATTGCAGTAATCAACGAGCAAAGATTGTCACCTAGTCAACCACAAATTCAGACTAATGAAAAAGATAGTTCAATATAGAAGGTTGAATCAAGATAGGAAGATTACTAAGTTTACTAAGTTTACAAGTCAAGTACAGGATACAAACCAAATAAGTGGGAATGCCGCATGGAAAAAAAACAATGAAATCGATCGATTATAGATATTCTGAAGAACAGCATGATGTAGTAGAGACTCTACTTGTTAAAATGATGTCAATAAAACTCGATATAGGCAAAAACATGACAATGACAATAAGAAGTCAGGGTCAAATAATTTAGCAAGATTTTGCACGTATTATGGGAATGATCACAGAGACAAACATTCACATAACATACAAGTTTCACAGAATAAATTTGATTATAATTTACTTTACCAATCTAGTTCACAGAGACAGCCCAGCAAAGAGCAACTCCAACTCCTTGTCCTGTGAAGTAGTTCTCTGACAAATAAAGACAAGTATGCATCAAATTCTCTTTCACTTAAACAACAAATAACAAAAAGCATCCAAGGCTAATGAAACAATATAACCCTACTCATTGTTGCATACCTGAAGCGATATCAGTTGAAGAATCTTGTTGAGAACACGTACGCGATGAGTAACATAAGTGCTGTTCGGGGGAAGTTGATTCATTCTTTTCAATTCTTCTTGAACTGCAGCTTCCCTCTCTTCGTTTCCTATCTCCTTCCATGTATCTTTTAACTGAGTTCTTGCTCTATTCTCCATAATCTGTTCATTATCACCATAAATCTGTAATTCAAATCTTGTTCAAATATTAATATTGAAGCTCTAATTTCATACTGCCAAATACGGCTAAAAAATAAATTAAATTCAAATCTTGTTCAAATATTGATATTGAAGCTCTAATTGAATTTGTTAGGTCTTTTAAGAAGAACTGAAACTTTAAATTCAGACGAAAAATAAAAAGCCCTAAAAAGCGAAGAGAGGGGGAGGCTTACAGGTTTCTATTGGAAGACGGCTTGCTTGACAACTGTCATTTCTTTATCAAATAGTATATTTTCAGTTTTTCACGGATTGAAACGCAGCGTTTCAGTTGAAATCGACTCTCGTTTAATTATCAAGCCATGTCATCATTTCAGGATGTGAATCTATTCGTTCATCAGTAAAAGATCCGTGATGCGTTCGGGGGCCCAATAGTAAATAGTGACGTGGCGAAACTTATAACTCAGTTGACCAGCAAGCATCGGAAGAACCAGGGAAAACTGAGCTCAACTCTGAAGAGAACCGCCAAAAATTCACTGCACAGTCTTAACGAACTAATCAACTAACTATCTAACTGTCAAAAATCGTTTTCAGTCCTAAACTGAAATTTTCAATCTTTTCTTTTCTTTTTCTTTCTCGGCTAACAAACAAGCGCTAGAAAATCGTTTCTGAAAATGGATTTATTACCAAAATGTGGAATGCTGGAGGCTAAGAAACTAGAGGTTGAGAAGTACTTCACTGTGGAAACGAAGTTTATGGCCGCTGAGGGCTATTCAGAGAGCAAAGAAGCCATTCTGAGAAGACTTTGGTTCTTGTTTAGTTCCAAAGAAAATGAATTCTAGCTCAATAATCAATTAACCGAAAATGATTTTGTTTGGTTGCTGAGAAAACAGAGTTGAAGAAAAGAATTGATGTTGTTTCTTGAGTTCAATTGCTTAATTTAGCTGAAGTTTCCAAATTCTGTTTGGTTGCTAAGAAAATGTCGTTCAGTTTATTACATATAAATTTAGGATTGTTGATAGATAAATTGATAAAAGTTTTAAACAGAAAATTGGATTGAGTTGATGTATTGCTATTTCATGTATTGCAAAATACTTATCTGTTTTAATCTTTGATAACTTTCTGAAACTTACTGCAGAATTCAAAATCTCAAGAATATGATCGATGTAGAAAATAGATCCGTACATTGCATATCTTGCTATGAATTACTTGGATCGCTTCATTTCAAGGCATCAACTCCCGATACTATAAGATCTGTTATGCCTGAAGAAAGCAGGGCTGACGTAAGCCCAGGTCAGCATGAAAAAGTCAGAACTTGGGTACACTCGTAGCCGAGTCACGTGATGAAAAGAGCAGCACGCTTTTGTCAGTGCAGTGGGTGCGCGCCAGGCCAGTCAGGAGCTGGAGAGCTTCCACGTGTCCAATTCCTACACCAAATTACGTAAATCGCTCTGGAAGGTGGGCAATGAGACATAAATGAAGATTTGTACGGATAATCCTACAAACTCACAGATTCAGTAATCATAACCTTAATCTATCCCACTATAAATTGAGAGTTCCTCTCTCAATTTAGGGGATTAGCTAATCTCTTTAAGAAACAACATATACTCTCTCTCTCTCTCTCTTCCTTGTAATCATTTGTAAAATCAGCTTGCGGGATGTGACCTGACCGTTATCATTAATACAACATCAGTGGAAGTAGGACTTGCTTCCTTAAGCATCTGAACCACTTTAAACATTGTCTAGTCATTTCTTTTACTCTCATTCTTTCATCCACATGTGTTTTCTAGGTCAGCTCAGTATTTCACATGTGCGTTTGGTTGGTGTCAAAATCACGCATCAACAAGATCAAATCCCTAATGTTATACTAGTTCGATTTTCAGAATCTTGCGTTTATTAGTTTGAAATTAGTTAATCAGGTTCTCAAAGGGCGAATGCGAAATGATATAGTTCTTCTAGCTCTACCTTGTCTAACTATTGGGTGTAAGACAGAGATGCCGGCCTTTGATTTAAATGATTTTCTGGTTAATCCTGTCCATCAGCTAGCTAGTGTAAATGTATTTATATTCACGTTAAGAGATGTAAGTTTTGTGCCTTACTTGTCGTGTCAGAATGCAGGAATTTGAGGGAATGCAGTAGAAATGATATAAGGAAGATGGAGTAGAAACGAACACGTCCGCTCATGGCTTTCAGCTTTGTGGAGTACCTAGCTGACAAGCTTCCATTGAAACAAGGCTTCAGTCGCAGCAAGATAAACGAGATCATAGTTCAAACACAAGGCAGTAAGATAGCTTAGAGAACATTAGTTGATTTTGATAACATCTGTGTGAATGTTTGAGCTACAGAAATATATATTTTGCATCATTTCTGAGCAATTTATTGGAGCCTAAAACATCTGATTGTATTCCTCATGTTTATCACAGACATCACTTATACCGAATTCAAGCCATTAGTCATCGCAGCATCAGCCCTCCTCACAGTTTGCACATTTATGTATCCTGACCAATATGATAAAGGAGATTTTCTTAAGTAGTGGGTATTTCCAAGAGGTAACTCTTGAAGTCCCACACTGACTAAGCACACTCAAACCTCTGGTTTATAAGAGAGAGTATCCTCCCATTCAACAAGACCTTATTGGATGAGGAGTCAGACTCACCTCAAATTCTATCATGGTAGCAGAGCTCAGGTTCAGTTGAGCTGAGTGCTTGACCATCGAGAATCCACTTGAGTTTAAAACATTTTCCACTTCAATTTCCTTCTCTTTGCACATTGCATTCGTCTTTTAGACGTAGGTTCTCAGATCCTCCTGCATCAACCAGAAGAGCAAAGCTCACAAATGGTTATGTCATTGACAGAACATTTGACTTACTCTTAATGTATCTAGTTTTGACTTGTTACTAATAGAAATTGAGGTGAGCCTGACTCCTTACCTAATAAAGTCTTATTGAATGGGGACTTCAACACTCCCCCTCACAGGGATGAGAATGAAGACTTGACTATTGATTCTTCTCTTTTCTGACCTGATGTTCCACCTGCTGATGTTGATCACGAATGGCTGTTATGTACAGAAGACTTGAGAGACCTTTTCGATCCTGATTGGTTGTTATGTCCAGAAGACTTATCAGACCTTTTCAGGTGCTTTTAAATTTCTCACTGAGATTGCCATTGCAGATGGACTAAGAGCCTGATACAGATTAAACAATAGCTTGAAAGTTTACACCCTTGATTGAAGTTTTTATGTTCAGAAGACTTAACAAACAACTTAATTGTTTATGTTAATGCAATTTGTCAAGAGAATAATACTGTGATGCAAAGTGCTGATAAACAGAAATTTCAGGAAACCAAAGCATGAAAGCTTCGCGTCTCATATGGAGTAACATCATGCTATATCATTCAAGCCAGGCGAAAGAGTTAACGAAGGAGACATCGTTGATAATATATAGAAGGGTCCAGAGAACAAAATCGAAAATGAATTCACAGAAATTTGCAAATTTATGTTTAGCCTCTGATGTGATTTCTGAAAAAATTTCATTTCCTTATTCAGGTTTGCTAAACCATGGACATTCTTGTGTAAATCAAAAGCAGCCAAAGTTACAGGTATATTTTCTGTAAATTTCAATCCATCATCAGAAAATGATCAAGAAGAAGAATATATCAAATGCAGAAAATAATGTGGATCATCCCAACCCCCGTTTAGATTAAGTTCTAAATATTCATCCAACCAAAAAAGATTGTTGATAGTATTGAAGTAGAAGGATTTTGTTACAGAACTTAAAAAAAGCAACTGGTTGATAGTCTTGGAAAATGCAATAACTCTTGGCAGATGGAATTCGGATCTATTACATCTCCATCGGGCAACTTATTTAGCCACAATAATAAATCAATGCAAACTCTGGTAACTTTTACTTCTTTGTGATCCACCTGAATGATAAACTTCTCCAAGAATTTTGCACTTCCAAACCCTCTTTAAACTTCCAGGGGCACGAAGAGGAGACTCATTTGGCTTCAGCTCTCCCTGAATGCTCCAGAATAAATTACAAAATGTTAAAGGGAATGAGTTAATGCCGGAGTAGACAAGCCACGACTCCATCCTCGTCCATCTCTGTATTAATCGTAATCTTCAGGAGCTTTAGATTGAAAAAGGTAGGCAAGTCATTCAATATAACACCTCTGAACTTGCAAAACCTGCAAAAATGAAAAAGGTGATATGTTAATTACGGCATCAATCAATGCAACCTGAAAATAAAAGAGAAATTATACCTTAACCGATGTCTGAGGCAGGTTCAAAGCCTTGACATTATACTTTTTCCTTAGGAATTTACCAAGACAACAAGCACAATCACTAAGGCGAAAATAAGATAAGCCTATATGAACATCATTCAAATTGGGGAGATTCCCTGAACTATGATCATCTCCGATTCGATCTTGAAAAGTATGCAACATACTATAAGAAATCTTGCAAACTAGGCAAGACTCTAAGATTAAATTTTCAAGATATGGGCTGTCGGAGAGCTGATGAGTAAGTTCTCAAGCAACAGAACCATTTTTAGATGCATGTTCTTCATCTTTGGGAAACAAAATGATTCAGGGAACCGCAGTAAAGGTCCAATATCCAGTTTCAGTGTCACTAGGGAATAGCAATCAAAAAATCAGGAGGATAAAGCAGAATTTATTACGAGTCGAGTGTGGATATCAAGCTCCTGAACTCCAGTCCTTACTATAGCCTTAATCCATGCATTGATATGAGAATCATCACTTGAATCTCGGCACGAAAGTCTGAAATTTGGTTATACTTGACTTGTCATGGTGGAGAAGAAGATGGTCTACACAATTCATGAAACTTTCCTTGTGAGTCATCCAGCGTTCTTTCAACTCAATATGTACAAAAGGAAGCCATAACTTGACAGAACGCTGGTTTGTGCAACATATTTTGTGGGGAGGAAAGCGACGATATGTTGAAGAAGTGATCTGGGGAGAGAGCTTATCCTGTCACAATTCTGAATCGGCTCTGTAGCACCTGATATTGCGTCGGATTTGTTTGACTTACAATACGAAAAGGCACTTAGCACGAGAAACTTTATTGGGAAATGAGGTAATATCAACTTAACGAAATGCTCAAAATTTAAAGGAAAGAATAATTTTTATTAGAAGTTTTATATACAAAGACCCAATTGGTTGATAGTCTTGGAAGCTGAGATAACTCTTGAGACAAAAGATTATCTGGGTCCTTTACATAATTACGCAGCTGG